ATTATGGGGGCCGGGAGTTGGGAAAGGGCAGGAGGGGGGCAAATTAGTGGAAGAGTGCAAGGGCGCCATCAGCATTCCCTACGGTATGGAGGCGACGGATGCTCATGGTGCCAGCAGGGACACACAAGTATGATACAACGTAGAGATGGTGGACCGGTGGACCGGAACAAAAGGAATGCGAAGAGTCGAGTCGAGTCGAGTCGAGTCCCAAAACACTGTGCAACTTGTCGGTTTTTAAAGTGGCAGAGATGCCAAACCCGAAACGCAAAGCAATTTTGTTCTGATTTTGTGATTTTAACTTTTTTAAACTTATTTTAGCTGCTTTTGACCTATTTTGTCATTTTGTCACTAATTAATTTAAAATTGCCCTGGAATGCACGAATGCACCATCACCAACATTCCACCAAGAAGGGCCCGGAAGCAGAACGGGGGTCACGAATTTCTGCTACTAGGTGAACCAAGATTTAGAGTGCTGAGATACAGTCCAAACCCAATAATAAGAAAGCTCTAACTGGTACTTCAGTCAGTACTCGAGCTTTCTTACCCAACTGCTACCCAGTGCACCTGGGTGTTTGGGTCCAACTTGCTCAGGACTCGTAAATTGGGTTGGATCAAAAAGAGATGGTGATCACTGTGTCTGCCGCGAGGCAGAAAATTTTGCAGTTTTAGGCACATGTTACAGTAGGAGAATTTTCATGGTGTCAGACTAGTATTATTTCTTTGTGCTTTGAGGTATCAATACTGGGAGGTTTTCTTGCAAGTCTGTGATATTTCAGTATAAAAAGATTCTTATCTTTTTCCAAAATCTGAGTACTGGCTTTCTAATTTGGAGTTTCTTACCTTCAGGTTTGGAGTGTCCTTCCTCTCACTGATTCACGAAAGCTTAGAGTACGTGATTTAACTGTTACTTCCGGAAGAACATTCCTTCCCTGGCTCTTTGGTCAACCATCAAGGATTTAAAGGAGGAGTGCCACGTCACCTGAGTACTTAGTACGGTTACATGTACTATTAATAATTCACGGCTTGCTTATTTTACCATTGGCAAAGTGAATTATTAGTTATTAATTAAAATTGCTTCCCAAAGAGGTGTCTTATGCATAAATCCATCAACTTACGGTGGGCTGAGCTGACCCAGTGCATTGTGCATTGTGCGTTGTGCATACCGTACTCTCACGTGCTCTGACGCCAAGCGCCAAGCAAACATCAAACAACATGCAACCCGGGTACGGAACTCGGGAGCTGTGTCATGCCGGTACTAGTACGTGTACATGTACATGTATGTAATCTGGAGCTTGCTGGATCTCTTCAAGCCACTGTTGCCATACAGCCTGAAACAGCAGCTTATAGCCAAAAGAATTGGTCGTTTGCACTTTGCTCTTTGGGCTTCTCGCAGAATAGCTATCTAGCTACTTGGTGCAATCATTTTTTGAAGAGCAAGGCTGGAAGAATGGAAATCGTCTCTAGTAGCCACTTTGATGGCCCATGTCTCCCTGCTGATGACGAGGAAAGCGTCAACGAAGAAGCCGTGATTGCGAACGAAAACTTGTCAACAGCAGGCGTTGAACTTGGCAGCAATAATAACCATGATAACTCGACAGATCTCTCTGTTGAGTCATGAGTATCCGGGACTGAAATTCGAAATCGACTGGACCACCAAAAGCGATTCCTCACTTTTCTTTTTAGACTGACTTTAAAATAAGCTCCACCATGGCCTACAGTCTCTCTAGTGTTTAATCAACATCTAAAAAGAAAAGGCTGTCTAGACAGTTACTACAGATACATTACAGACCTTCAGGTGCTCTTGAGGAGCGAAGGAACAAGCTTAATCGGAGCTCTAGAAGCTTCGAACGAGCGATTCGAGCGTAAGTAGACGACCGTGAATTGGGTGAAGAGCACCGATCCAATCGGTTCGACACCTTCCGACTGTCTACAGGAGTAGCCAAGGGTACCACTGTGACTGCAGGAGTGTGCTCAATAAGCTACCAGCCTCGAATAACAACAAAAAGCTACCGGTGTTACCGAAAAGGACCGGCAAAAGCGCCATTGTCAGCCTTTTTCTTTCTTTCGTTTTCGATCGAAGAAACTCGCTGACACTTGTTGAGTCCATTGAGTCAAATTGACTCATTTGACTCGAATCGGAATTCGGATTCGGAACGGGAATCAGTGACGTTTTTTGGTGACGTCATCCCGTGACATCATCGAGTGACGTTTTTTGCTGACGTCATCAGTGTCACACCAGACGTCCGAGTGACGTCATCAGTGTCACATCAGACGTCCGAGTGACGTCATCAGTGTCACATCAGACGTCCGAGTGACGTCATAGTGACGCGTATACCCTATAGGTGCGCATCGACGCGCTGGACTCATATCGAAGAACGATAACTTCGTTTGA